AATTAATTCATGAGATGAAGTTTGCAATGAGCAGAAGTTTGAAAGCCAATTATAGTATGGGCTGAAGTTGCAAATATGAGAAGAGATTCCAGTTTCTAAAAATAGTATGGGATGAAGTTTGCAAGTCAACAGTCAAAGGGAGCTGAAGTATGAGATGAAGTCTCTAAGACAAAAATAGTATGGGCTGAAGTTTCGAGACTAAATATGGAATGAGTAGAAGTTTCAATGAGATGAGATTTCAAGCATCAAGGTCTGAGATTTCACCGCCAGTATGAGATCCAGTTTGAGAATTAATTCATGGGATTTAATTGGAGATGAAGTTGAAATTAAATCAAGAAATCTCATTGGCTGAAGGAATTAATGCTGAGATAAAGTCTCAAAATCAGTAGCCGATTGAGAAGAAGTTTGAGCTCAAGATATAAAAGGAAATTGACTAGTCCAAAATAGCAAGGGATTAATTTGGAGCACATATTTGAAAGATAAAAATCCTAGAAGGCGTGATCAATATCAGAATTATTTGAGGAGCCTATTTGCGTAGACTTGGAGCTCAAAGCAACGGCCAAAATTATCAGACACATCAAAGATGTAATAAGATTTTCTGAAAAGGCTACAGATTAGCTGACAAGAATTCAAATTTGAGATTGTCTTTTTCCAACGGACAAATTATCAAAATGGCTATATAAGGATGAAGATTGAAGCAGAGCAAGATATGAACTTGAATGAACCAGAGAGTTCACAAGAGAGCAAGCGTGAGCAACAGAGCTGTGAATATACGAACTTCCATATCAAAGTGATATATACGAAATACAAGTGAGAAAATACACAAGTGCTCAGAGCTTACAAGAAAATATCCAAGAGTGCTAAAAATCTTCATCAAAGAAAGACTTGCTGCTTAATGAAAAATCCATCCAAGAAGTCTCAAAGTTGGAAGCAAGAGAAGCTTATTTTTCTACAGACAAACGTGATCCCTATGGGAGTGTAGGAAGGAGATTGTCACAAGGAGTTGTAAAATCTTGGTTGCAGTTCTACTGGAGCGTAGAAGGGGAGGAAAGTAACATGGAGTTGTGAAATCCTGAGAAAGTAGCACAGAGCTGTGAAATCCGAATTGTAGTTCTACCGGAGCATAGAAGGGGATGAAAGTAACACGTAGTTGTGAAATCCTAGGAAAGTAACACAGAGCTATGAAATCCGACTTATAGGATTAGTGTGGGCTTGGTGATCAAAGCACTAGATCACGGAATTCATTATATCTTGAAACCAAGAAGTGGTGGATATAGTGAATTGCTCTTGGAGGATAAGAGCAAGTGGATGTAGGAGGATTACATCACCTCCGAACCACTCTAAATTTCTTGTGTCGTTTACTGCTTTATTTATTTACACTTGCATTCTTTCCTCTCACGTGATATTCACTTGGCACAATCACAACACTCATTTTATCTTTCCGCTGTGCACAAAACTCTACCAATCGGCTCAGAGCTTTGTTTCTTAGTTGCCTTAGCTAATTTTGTTTTTGGCAAAATCGGTTGAAAAGTCTATTCACCCCCCTCCCCCCTCCCCCCCCCCCTCTTCTAGACTTTTCCTCACTATGTTTGGAACCAACAAGTCGTCGTTCGTCAGAAATCCATGCCCGCCTTTGCCATCTCGCCTCACTGCTACAACACTGGTCTGCTGACACCGACCGCACGTTCTAGATGAGGAATGGCAACGGAGAACACACTGGAGACCTCCTTAATGCCGACGAGGGGAAAAACGACGGAAGAAAAAATAACCAGAAGAACTGAATTTTTCCGCCGCCGCCATCCTCTATAGTCGCAATGCCAACTCCGCACCATACTGCGGACGCCTGACTTAATGGCGTAACAACGGCGACTTCAGAGAGGAAACAAGAAGATCACAACCATCTTCTTCGTAGCTATCTGTTCCGTCGATTTCCACGGAAGACGCTACTAAACCAGAACCAGTGCCGCCCAAAGAAAATGAAGCAGCAACGAGCCACCTGAAGGAGGAAACGACGACGAGAGCAGTGAACTTCCGGCGTCCCATCTCGTCGCCCAACACCCGTCGTCGACCTTAATAGCAGCACGCAAATGAAGCAGCGGCAGCTCGGAGCCAGCGTCGCCTGAAGCAGGGGAGAGGCAGCGATGTTGCCGGAGAATCCAACTCGCCTCTACCAGCTCCCCTCGTTGGAACGCCAACGTCTGCCATCATCCTCACCGTAACGCCACCACCCTGAAAACTGAAAACTAATGGTGGTTGCCTTGAAAATGAAGCACAGGCGAGTTGCATTTGAAACCAGTGCATAAGCCACCATTTTTCTCGGCCAAAACAAATAGGCGGTGGTAAGTCTCAAGAGTCATGATATATTTAATTTCAAACTCCAAAGGAAATTTAAAACATGTTTAATGCTCATAATTAAATTCCAAGCATCCAAATAAATTACAAATAACTCTTTCAAACAAAGAACTAATACAAATGTAATTGTAAAATAAAGCATATACAAGCACATAATGTATACGAGAAATTAATGTTGATTTTAAGCAATATATACAACCAACCAGGCAGAGATTGATAAAGGCTCTGATACCAAATGTTAGATATTAATACGAACTAACATTAACTAAAGTAACGAGGAACTTGACTCATAACAGTGGAAGCTTTAGGTTAATCCAAATATCCCTCATCCCTCGCCATAGTTGTTGGTATTGCCGTTGGGATGGTAAACCTGTAGAATAGTGTTAGCCGTTTTGTCTACCACTTCTCTTCCGAATACCGGATGGTGTGTGTGCTGAATACGGGAGCTGTGGGAGGACTGTTTTGTTTAGAAGCCTACATGCCATCAATATAGACAGATATTCAGTTAAAGCTAAACTGAATATCCTAAGTTACCTAACTGAATAAATCACCAATTGATTTAATCACCTGCTTGCAGCATAGCCACCCAACAATATATATATATATATATATATATATATATATATATATATATATATATATATATATATATATAGTCAGGTTCAGGTAAGAACCACTACTTGGCTGTAAACATGTGAACTGCTATGTACTATTGAAATGTGAGATTGGATGGCCAAGATCTGAGGAGTGGTGCAGTTGTGCAATGGTGTAGTGGTGCAATATGAGATTGGATGAACAAGATCTGAGGAGTGGTGCAGTGGTGCAGTAATGTATAATTACCAAGTCAAAATCATTACAAACCACAAAATCAAGCAAAATCAATGGTACACAAGTTCACATATTAACAAAAGTTCTCATTTGGAAGTGAGTTATGCTACTAAAATGTACTTTTGTTTGTGAAAAAAAAAAAAAAAAAAAAAAAAAAAAGTGGCGGTGCTCTAACATATATAATATATTATCACATCATTAAAAAAACAATTAAAAGATTTTATTAATAATTTAAGGAAAATGACATTTTTAATTTTATAATTATGCGGGTATATAGAGTTAATACCATCCAAGGTCCTCTGAGTATAGTGGCTTTGCCACATTTAGTCCTAAACTTTCAAATTGACCATATGTGGTCCTTCGACTTTCAAATTTAACCATTCGTGGTCCAAGTTAACCACCCATGGTCCTTCAACTATTAAATTTTAACCAACCATGGTCCTTTCAAGAGGATCACAACTGGTTAAGTTTTGAAACTTGAAGAACCATGGGTGGTTAACTTGGAACACAAATGGTTAAATTTGAAAGTCGAAGGACCACATATGGTCAGTTTGAAAATTTAGGACTAAACGTGGCAAAACCACTATACTCGGAGGATCTCTAACGATATTAACTCCGGGTATATATATTAGTCTTCAAATCTTCAATTGTTGAAATTTCTACCTTTGTTCCTATCGCAAAGTACAGTGAAATTTTTGCGATTCAAAACCCTTTCAAATCCAAGCACTATTTTGCTGACTATTATTATGTCATATTCTCATTCCATTTCTGTTGCAAGTTTATTCATTCGGAGACATTGTCCATATCCATGATAGTATGAAAATCAAAAGTGAGTGTAATAATAATAATTGGAAGAATAAATTCATTATATCCCTTAATGTAGAGGCATATATTTTAGCAGTTTGTGGTCTACGAAAAATACTTAAAAGCTTCCAGCGCATTGATCTAGTTAATGAAAAGTCTTATTTAAAACTTGCTTTTAATATGAAAGTGAGTTTGATTTGGATTTCTTTGTGTATAGAAGTGTATAGTTTGATATTGAGTTTTAAAACTAACAAATATTATACCATGGACCAGGTCTAGTTCATATTGCATTGTGAAACCTTGTTTTAAAATTATGTGTCTGCACTTAATACTTTTTGTACCTACAGTTAATAATTTATGTACCATGAATTGTTAACTGCAAGTACAAAATACATATTTTGTACCTGCAAGTAACAATTTATGTGTTTGTAGTTATCATGTTATGTGTATAATTATCATGTGTTTTCAATCTATTTACATGTACAAAAACGGTAATTGCAAGTACAAAATGTGTCAAATGTCTGCCCATAATCAAAATGTTATTTTTGGACCAAAGTCCACAATGCCACAAATTATTCTGTGGACCCAAATCCACCTTGCAAGGTGGTTATGAGTCCAAATGTTCACAATTTACATATTAAAATATTTACAATATACCTTTTAAAATTTACAATTTGTATACTACGAACACATAATGTTAACATATATGTAATTGATTATCTTGTTTTTTATTCAAAAGTTCCTTTCAAATACTACATTAACACAATATTAACATATTAGAATTTGATGACCATGTATTATATGCACGATTGTTATATGTTTTGACTTAAAAACACAATTTATATTCTAAAAGTTCACATTTCAAATATTAAAAATATACAATTTATACGTCGATTAAGATTAAGGTCCAATACAAGATAGACCCTGATCCATGGTATAATTTGCCTAAAGCTACATTTACTTCTTCATGAGCCTAAAAGCAAATTCATGGGTTCATAGCGAATTCAAAAAACTTGGGGAGTAATTCATAAATAAATTAGGTTCTTTGGATTTGTTTTGGAAAATTTGAAGAGGTTAGAGATCAAGAACAATATTGTCTAATTTCAACCGGCAAGATTCCATACCGTTGACAAGCAACCTAAGACTATCTTTGAGCTCAGAGGTTCCTTCCTCCAAAACTGCACACACAGGAAAAATGGGAACGCCAGACACCCTTTGTTTCAGCTCTTCATAAACCTCTTCAGCTCCATCCTCATCAATTTTGTTTGCAACTACTAAGGATGGCCGATCCGACAAACCCTCGCGATAATGCTCGAGTTCCAAAACCAAATCTTTAAGCTGTTCCCATGGCGGTATTCCTTTGTTGTCACCTAGAGCCGCTGCCAAGTCCACCACGTACGCCAGAACTTTTGTTCGCTCTATGTGCCGTAGAAATGCATGCCCGAGCCCCCGGTTTTCATGCGCTCCTCTTATAAGCCCGGGGATGTCGGCCACTGTAACTGAGAAGTCGTCGTAGTTTACATTCCCCAAATTTGGCCTCAGTGTCGTGAAGGCGTAATGGCCTACTGTAGGTTTCGCCTTTGACAGAGCCCCGAGAAGGGTGCTTTTCCCTGCATTTGGCATCCCTACAAGACCAACATCGGCAATGCTCTTGAGCTCTAACACGAGAACAACCTCCGAGCCTGGCGAACCAGCGTTTAGTGATGCAACTTCTTCATCAATATACTCTGCAGCGTCAACAGTGTCGGGGTCATCGTTTCCCTTCTGTGTCTTCTTTGAAGTCTTTCCCGTAGAGACGTTACCTAACCCGCCCTTCCCCCCTAGAGCTATAACTATCTGTTGGCCTGGTTCCGTTAATTCTGCTACATCGTATTCCACATTCTCACTCTCCTCCCGTTCATCCTCCCACTCCGTTCCTGACACATCATCGTCACTATCTTGACCTTCCAACTGACTACATTCGAGCATTCTCGAACGTGGAATTTGAGCATGAGATGAATCCGACGAAGCACAGGTGGCTAATCTGGTACTAGTCGAGTTGTCAACACAAGGACTGGCGGTTTTCTTGAAAGTGGTTTCGGTTTCACAAGTTGGAAGAGATTGTAGACAGCATTCAGATGAATGAGTAGCAAGTGTACCGGGTATATCCCAGGGATCTAAAGTTGTTGAAGAAACTTTCTCAACTGCAGAAGGAAGTTCTCCTTCCACAACATGAATTACAGTGCCAACTGGTACTTGGACAACCTATTAGAAAAGTTTGCATATTAGACATTTGAGCAAATACCAATTTTTGTCCCACGAGTATTAGCAAAATGACAGTTTTGATCCATATGTTTAATCACTACCAATTTTCATCCCACGACTATTGTTTTAGTACCAAAATTGATCACGTCGGTCACCCCTCTGGCTAAAACATGCCAGAATGTGAAATTGGTAAGGGTATTTTCATCCTTTCACAATTAATATGCCTACAAGAATTGGTCAGTTTTTTTTTCAATTTATAATGTTCATGATTTGGTTAAAATGAAAGGACAAGAATACCCTTACCAATTTCATATTCCGGCATGTTTTAGCCAGAAGAGTGACAAGTTTGAATATTAGACATGTGAGCAAATACCAATTTTGGTCCCACGAATATTAGCAAAATGACAGTTTTGATGCATATGTTTAATCACTACCAATTTCCATCCCACGACTATTGTTTTCGTACCAAAATTGATCACGCTGGTCAACCCTCTGGCTAAAACATGCCAAAATGTGAAATTGGTAAGGGTATTTTTGTCTTTTCACAATTAACATGCCTACAAGAATTGGTCAGTTTTTTTCAATGTATAGTGTTCATGATTTGGTTAAAATGAAAGGACAAAAATACCCTTACCAAGAAGAGTGACCGGTGTGATCAATTTTGGTAGGAAAACAATAGTGGTTGGATGAAAATTGGTAGTGATTCATGTGGACCAAAACTATCATTTTGCTAATACTCGTGGGACAAAAATTTGTATTTGCTCTTAGATATTTTTAGATCAAGTTGGGACATACTCATTAACAGTGTGATACAAATGGTTTTAAAAAGTTAAAAAATTATGAGAAAAGTATATAGCGCAACCTCAATACCTCATCAGTGCCTCGGCTTCCTATCATATTTTTGGAAGTTCCATGCCCCCCTCTCCTTGCATTCTGAAAATTACAATAATTTTAAATATATATCAAGCAACACATTGTGCCACAGTGAACATGATTAGAGGAAACGAATAGCAGGTAAATGAGGACAAAACAGAGGGAAAAAAAATGAAACAGAATATGATATAGAAATCTGTAGCCAATAAGAGAAGAAGAACGCACCATGTGATGCTGAAGACCACTGAAATCCCAGACTGCTGGAGAACATTCAAGTATAACATCACCACCTCGTCCACCGTTTCCACCTGAAAAAACGCAAGAAATGTGTTAGGGAAAAAGAGTGCATGAAGAGCATGACAAGGAAAGAAATTGGATTAGAACGGTAAGCTGATGTATAATAAGGAAACACAGAAAGATATAAAACAGTTTCATTTGTGTTGTGAAATCCAACCATCGGGCCTTCCAAAGCGATTGTGCCGGCTACGACGAAAGCTGTTACAACCGTTGCCACCATCGCCTCCTTTTGCCCATATACGAAAGCGGTCTATCATTCTCCGCTCCTACAAGAGAAGCATTTGTAAGATTATAAAATATGAGTACCTATATACAGGACATAGAGGGAGTGTAAAAGACCTGCAGTGGGGCAAGCTTTGTCTTCTTCTGAGCAATGTCTGAGAAAGAACACAACTGGAAAACCAATTGTGATTGCGAGACTTTTCTCACATTCCTCAAGAACGAGGATTTCCCACAATTTAGCCACATATTAATGTCACCCTCAACAGTTCAATATTAGTTGATTCCACATTCAAATAGTGACAAGGGCTCTCTTGAATATCAACCTTCACCAGATTTTATACTGTGAAACCCAGAGTATCTAAAATGCATGCCACAAAAGATGATGTCCCAAGCAGGCCTTAGTTCACTGTGTGGAAAATAGTAAATTCTCCTGGCTATTTCCTCCCCATCCAGAAGATTCAGAATCTCCTGCGCTTCAATCACTTAAACTTTAGTACTTAGTAGCCAAGTAAAGATTAAGGCATCTGAGCACCATTTACAAACCAAATAAGTAATCAATAACATTGACTTTCCATTGCAAATATCTGAAGTTCAGAACAAGACTTAGCTCAATGACCACAAAGGTCTGACCTTTAATGTACTCAGCCCATGAGTGGGGATGCGCCATATAAATCAATAAGCATACTACTCTAAATCCGAAAATTATTTTATCAAGTACAAAAAGGGTTGATAACTGACATTTTAAAAAAACCTGAATGTCAGAAGAATTTCATCGAACATGTTGAGGACAGTGGCAAATCTATTTTCCTTCAATAGTAAAAATACAATACCTGGTTGATCCTATTGAGCAGAAGACAGAGTTGGGCTCCCGGTGAACTTGTAGTACTATCAGGAACGCTGAGTCGCCGTCAATCTCTCCGACCAACTGTTGTTTTCTTCTTTAACTTCTAAAACAAAAGATAGAAATTAAAGGTCGTCCATGTTCCCGATCAATGACAACTTGTAACTTTTTTCTAACAACCTTTTTTTTTTTACCAATTCAATTCCTCTTGTAGGTCCCTACAATGCTTTTTTTTTTAAGTTGTCCCACCTTCTAAAAGAAAATTGACAAATAAAAATAAGTTTTAAAATTATCATGATATACACACACACTTTTTTGTCTATGTTATAAATTAATTTAATTTTTAAATTGTAACATGCGTGTGATGTGTTTGCTAAAATAGAAGTGAGCACACTTTAATTCACTTGATTGGTATATAGGGAATTGTTTGTCTCACAGTTTGAGATTGGTATAAAGCTCATGGATCACATCACTTCATTGTTTGTAGTGACTGTGATCACATTTGTGCCTTCAATAGTTGATGAGGATTTAGTGCGTCTTTTCACTTGACCAGCACTACTAGTCTACTACAAAAATAGGATATAACGTCGGACATATCACATATCACGTCGATTTTAGCAAATATGAATATCAGAAAGGGCACATATTAACCTTGAAACAAGTTCTTAATAGAAAGGTTTCCATTCCTAAACTGCACGAAAATAATCATAATTCTCATCTCATAGACAACTAGCAAACATACAAATGAAGAGAAATTAACATGAAACATTTGTAGTAATGCAATAAAATATCATTAATGGTTTGTGCTGTGTTGTTTGGCCAGTCTCTATCTTTCCCTATCAACTCTAATAAAATATCTCTGGTCTGTATGTCATAAAGTTTGCATTAGCTACTCTCATTTACTCTTGATCTAAATCTAATAACGACAGGATTATTGTCCAACAGAGTTGTTTGAAAAATACTGTTTGGGCAACATGGCAGGACCTCCTTAACAGCCTACCCTTCTGCAATATTAAAAAAAAAAAAAAAGTTAAAACCCATTGTTAATTATTAGTTTATGAACTGGTTAGTGCACCTAAAGACAACTGTAAACTTGATGGTCAAGAATTATAAACAAAAGTTTGAATCTTTAGTTAGAGAATTAAAGATTATTCACTGAAGAAAGCTAGATTTTCTTGCTCTATATTTGTAAGGTTTTGAGTCAAGTTTTATTTGTGCCCACAGTAATGTATCATATATGCAAACAAGTAGCCAGTATCTGTCTGGTCTGCTGATGTACACCCTTTTATCAGTTTTGTGGATTCCTCAATTGGATGCTAGAATCTTGGAGATTCATCATTGATATATTAATGTAGCTCTTGTTTGGAGTATACTAGTGTCTCAAGAGGTTCCTCAAAGAAAGGTAATTGGCAGCATATGGCAACTAACAAAGCAAAAGCTTGAACCGAAATATTAATGAAGCACCTACTTTCAAGTAATCAAGGAAATACCTATACCTTCATAACTAAACACACTAAAACAAATACTCCATTCCTCATTCACAAAAAGTATAAAACCAGAAAACCTAACTGATTTAATGCAATTACTGAAGCAATTAATAATTCGGAAAATAAACTAGAACTCTGCAATTACTGGAGCCTGGAAGTGCTTGATCATATACCCTAATTGATTATCCTCAAATTTTCTTATCACTACAATAAAGCCTCAATTGAAGACATGAAGAGGGCCTTTCTTATGCCCTCTATTTTGTTCCCATTGGTGGTCACATAATAAATTCAGAAATTATCAGTTTTAGTGCTGGAGAATAAAAAATAGGCAGAACATTTGACAAACATGCATATATTGAATTTAACCTAAAATATTAACCCACAAGCTTCCAAAATCCTCCCTCAGCTTACTAAAACTATGGATAATGTATCAGTTTAGCAGTTCGGCTCAATGATTCTACTTATTCTTTCTTCAATTATTAAAAAAATAATAATAATAAGTACAGAAATTTTTAAAAATGCCAAGCCCATTAACTATAAACCTATGGAGTACGGAGTACCAATAAATTTTTTATTTATTAAAAGAAAAAAAAAGAAAAAATAAAAAATAAAAAATAAACAGAACTTAAAATTACTGCGGATACCTGGTTGTGAAGAAAAGGATGAATTATTGGGGGAAGCCCATTGATTTTGTTGTTGATGAGGTTCAAAGTAGTCGGAATGGCGGCATGTAGCGGTAGCGGCGGAGGAGGACGAAGAGCAGGTAGTGTGGTGGTGATACGACGGCGGAGGTGAGACACGGCGGAGCTGAGGTTTTTGTACGGTTCGGAAGGTTTAGAGCTGAGGTTTTTGGACAGTGCGCGCGAATTGAAGGTAATTAAGTTCAGAACTAGGTTTTTGTTTGAGAGGAAATTGAAACTTAATTTTTATTTTTTTTTTTTTTTTAGAGAAGAAGGATGTTTTTATGGGGAAAAGGGTCAAACAGGCCCCTAAATATTTCGTAAAAAAAAAAAAGTCAATTAGATCCATGAACTTTTTAAAAGTGCAATTGAATACATGAACTCACAATTTTGAGTCGTTTGTCCCCATTAGCAGGTTACCACTCAGCTAGGTGTCGGTAAATGTCCCGTGACTTGCCACATAAGCTGTGTTTTGATTATTTGGCTCGCCACATAAGCATATTAGGAATGTTCGAACACAATCATGAGCTACTCCAAAAATAGTATGAGCTTTATTTGTTTAAAGCTCAAACTACAGCGAACAAAGTAGCATTGGCAAAACGAAAAGAAGAAAACAAAATCTTAAGAATGAATTTAAATTTGATAGAAGATCCAGATGTTTGTGAGTCGATTAGACACCAACAACTACAAATTGTTGCAGAGAGAAATCAAGAGCATGGAGGAGGTACGGAAGTTTTCTAGTTTTCAGGCAAAGCACTGTAAAACGACGATAATGGAAAACCTTCCGACGATGCCTAACAGCGAGGAGGAAGACCAATTAGAACGAAGCACGAAGAAAACGAAAACGTCAATGGAATCGCCAATGGGTGATGCAACACAAACCAACGATGGACTGATCCGTAATGATCCGGGTAAGTCTGCATGGACTGAAACTCTTTCGTTTAGCCAGGTTGTCGCGGATGACAACACCGGTGGCAATAAGAAAGTGGAGGAGATCGACCTTATCTCTGACGATGAGGAAGATGAACGTGATGAAGATGTTAATAAGAGCTGCCCAACGATCACGCTCACACGGGAGGAGAAATTGAGACTCCGGTCAAAATGGAAACAGACTTTGATTGTGAAAGTATGGGGGAGGAATGTAGGATATACATATCTCCTTAGGAGGCTTACCGCCCTTTGGCACCCAAAGGTGAGGATGGAGTTAGTAACGATGGAAAATGGCTACTACATAGTGAAGTTTAACTCCATAGATGATTACAATTTTGCGAAAATAGGAGGCCCGTGGACGATCCTCGATCACTATCTGATTGTGAAGGAATAGAGGCCAAATTTTGATCCGCTCACAGACAAAACCGAAAGTGTGATTGTTTGGGCCAGATTCCCGTGCTTACCTGTAGAATACTATGATCACAATTTCTTAATGAGGGTGGGAAACAAAATTGGCCGTTCTCTCCACATTGATACCGCAACTAGTCTGGTGTCAAGGGCAAGTTTTGCTCGTGTTTGTGTGGAAGTTGACATAACAAAACCTTTATTATCGAAGTTTACCGCGGGGAGACGGGTAAGGCCGATAACATACGAAGGGCTCCATCTCGTCTGTTTTAAGTGTGGACTCTATAGCCACAATGTCGAAACATGTCCAAAGAATCAGCATGAAAACGACGAGAAAACACAGAGTGAGAACCATAATGATGGGGGTCAGGCGACGGCAACCACCACCGGTGGCGGAGACAACTCGGAGCAAAGGAGCAACGGTAATAAGATGACTGATAAGGAAGTTCCCATACATAGACCTTTTGTCACCAAAGATTATGGTATTTGGATGGTTGCACCAAAACCAAAAAGGAATTATGCAAAGAAACAGGGTGAGAGAAATCAGAAGGAATCAGAAAATGGGAACTTACCTTTGCAAGGCACTGGAAAAAATAAGGAACAAATTACAAATATTTCAGGATCAAGATTCGAACAATTAGGTGGAGATGAGGTGGCAGATGCAAGAGTCAACCAAATTAGTACGGGAAATAAGCAGAATAAGGGACACAAAAATAGAAATACAACTGATAAAGGAAAAAGACCAGCTGTGCAATTCAGCGAGAAACAAATCGAGGGAAACAATGTGCACGGTAAACACAAGAAGCAAGCGGAGAAGAGTAGCAAGAGTTCGAACCAAGGGAGAAAGGAGCAACCAGGGAAAAACCAAGCAAATCAAGCAGCAGCCGGGGATGATCATACTCTCGTCATAGGAGACAAAAATGGGGCATCATCTTCGACAGTGGTGAACTTGGGAAGTGAGGAACATATGAATATCTTGCAGGTTGAAAACTCCATTCCTTTGGAGCACCATGGTGATCCACCGGATGAAGGCACTGGAGGAGATGGCACATTGGAGAATGAAGACCTCTTCATGGACAGTCTCGAGATCCCCGGCGGGGGTGACATGGAAACCGAGTTTTGCGGGACTGGTCTCTCTTGCTCGCTTGGTTTGCCTCTTTTCTTTTTTCTCTATGTTTTGCTTTCTTTCTGCGCCTCCTTTTGCGCTTTTGTTTTTCCTTTTGCTTTCTGTTGGTGGCTGTTTCTTTTTTCTTTTGTTTTCCAATGAAGGTTTTAACTTGGAACTGTCAAGGCGCAGCGTCTAAGAAATTTCTTAGGGCTGCTCGATGGCTTACCACCTCACACAAACCAGATATCTTCTGCTTGTTCGAAACCAAGACCTCGGGCTTCAACGCCACAGAAGTTTGCATGAAGCTAGGTTTCGACAATTGGGCTAGGATCGAAGCTCTTGGGTTCAGCGGTGGCATTTGGACGCTTTGGAACAAAGACACTCACGTTGAAATCATGGCTTCCCATCCCCAATTCATGCATATGAAGATTAAAAATACAGATGGGTTGATTTGCAGTTTCACGGCTATCTACGGCAGCCCCACTCTTTACCTCCGTCGCCGCCTTTGAAGCACTCTAAGTCGGAACAACATAAACGTGGATGGCCCCTGGCTGCTAGCTGGTGATTTCAACGCCATTTTAAACAATGAAGAATGTTCGAGTATTGGCCAGTCGAGTAATTATAAAAATAGCGAGTTCAAGGATTGGATCTTTGATGAAGAATTGGTTGACCTGGGTTTTATAGGCCAGAAATTTACGTGGAAGAGGGGATGTGAAGAGGAGACCTTCAAGGGAGCGAGATTGGATAGAGCTTTAGGGTCCCTGGATTGGTTGGAAGCTTTCCCAGACACAAAAGTCACTCACCTAGCCATGGTTAAATATGACCATTGCCCTGTTTTGGTGGAAACAGATTACTCCCATGGTAAACAAAATTGTCAGTTTATGTTCCAAGGAGCATGGGTTAGGCACCCAAACTTTATTGACACGATCAGAATTAATTGGAATAAGGAAAACACGGTTTGGGCTAATAAAGAGAACATGGCGAATAAGCTTAAGGATTGGAACCGATCAACCTTTGGGAACATTCATCATAATAAGAAAAGACTTATGAGGAGACTTGAGGGCTTACAAACTAAGCTGGACACGGTAGCTCATGCGGGGCTCATCAGACTGGAAAAGAAAATTAGAAAAGACCTCGAGGAAACTCTCCACCAGGAGGAGATTTTATGGTTCCAGCAGGCTAGAGAAAATTGGATCACATCGGGCGACAGGAATACGAAATACTACCATGCAGCAGCGACAATCAATAAGTCTAAGAAAAGAGGCTTTAAACTCTCAAGTAGCAACGGCCAAAACATCCTAAGTGAAGATGAAGCAGCCAGGTCCATGAGTACTTCTCGGCTCTATTCACCAAAGACTGTGATGTTGACTGTAGTTATGCCCCCAAGAATAGGTTTCCAAAGCTGAAGGAAGACGATTGGAACAGGATAAATATGGAGTTCACCCCGGAGGAAATTAAGAAAGCTTTATTTGAAATGAGCCCGCTCAAAGCGCCTGGGCCTGACGGTTTTCATGCTTGTTTCTATCAGAAAGCCTGGGAAGTGATGAGACCTTCTGTTATCAAGCAAGTAAAAGAATTCTTGGAAACAGGTAACCTTGAAGAAGGAATGAATGACACGCTCATTTCCCTGATCCCTAAGAATGAATCTCCCAAATACCCCAGCCAATTCAGGCCCATAAGTTTATGCAACGTGATTTATAAGGTGCTGACAAAGATGTTGACGAACAGAATTAAACCCATTCTCAATAAAGTAGTTCCGGAGCAAAGTAGTTTTGTACCGGGGCGTCAAATTACGGATAATATTCTAGTCTACCAGGAGATGCTTCATACCATGCGTCACAAACAAGGAAAGACTGGTTTCATGGTCCTAAAAGTAGACCTGGAAAAGGCTTATGACAGACTTGATTGGAACTTCATCCGGGATACTCTCCAGGAGGTGGGTTTTGACAACAAGTGGGTAAAAAATGTCATGACTTTTGTGGAAACCGCTTCCTTAAACATCCTTTGGAACGGTAAGCAACTGGAAAAAATCATTCCCTCCCGGGGTATTAGGCAAGGAGACTCAATATCTCCATACCTTTTCGTTATCTGCATGGAGCGCATTAGCCATATCATTAAAGGGGAGATACAACAAGGAAATTGGAAAGGCGTGAAACCCCCCAGGTATGGTCCCCCAATCACCCATTTATTTTTTGCTGACGACTTGGTTTTATTTGCTGAAGCCTCACAGGAACAGGTTTTGATAGTAAAGAGATGCCTTGATAGATTCAGCATGGTCTCGGGACAGAGGGTGAGTCTTAATAAGTAGTAGATCTTTTTTTTTTCAAAAAATGTGAGCACTGAGGATGCCCAAAAAATCATGGAGATAGCGGGCATGCCTGTAACGACAAACCTTGGAAGGTATCTCGGCGTCCCATCGATTCATGGACGACTCACAACCAGTATGCTCAGTCATATTTTGGATAAAATCGATGCAAGACTTGATGGATGGAAAACAAGATTCTTAACTCTTGCTGGAAGACAAGTCCTAGCGCAAACTATCCTTCATACCATCCCATACTATACTATGCAAACCGTGCATATGCCGGCTGGTTTATGGGAGGCGACCGATAAACGAATTAGACGGTTCATTTTGGGCGGTACGACAAACAACCGAAAATGCCAGTTGGTACGGTGGGACATCGTCACTAGACCAAAGCTAGAAGGTGGCTTGGGCATCCGAGCTACAAAGGAAGTTAACTTGGCCTTCATGGC